AAAAGCTGTTTTTTTTACAATGAAACAAATATAGGAATCTCAAAATGCTGTGCACCAAGGAAATTAGGAATAGGAATTCATTTTTAACATATGAACATTAGAGAAGAGAAGATAGGGCAGGGTGAGAGGTCACAAACCACCTAACACAGCCTTCACCGAGTACAGCTGTCCATTTACAGATCCTGAATGTCACCTCTGAATGAGTGTGAAGACCAGAGTGTCGGTCAGGAGCATGGCTTTCTTTCAAGGCATTTTAGAAGCCTTCAGTTCTTTTTTAGGTTTTCCTCTTGGCCAGTTACAAGCATCCTTCCTATAAATCTGACACCCTGGCTGAGAGTTGGCTATAGGGAACTAAAGCAAGGTCCTTACCTTTAACCAAAGGCAGGTCTTTGCACACAGATTCAAACAGCATATTTATGTGTAATCTCTTTTTCAATCTAAAGCCTCCTTGGGATGTTTAAAGATGTCTGAGCAATTCTACTGCCCTCTGAATCTATGTGTTTAGCCAGTGTGGTGAACTTGCAACATATTCAATATTCTGTGACTGGTGAAGACTACAGAGTCCAATGCTTCTTTAAGCTTTCTAAATTTGTGAACATTCAGTAATAGCTGGAAAGAAAATATGGGCCTTTGGGAAGCCAGTATGTCAACCTAACATAATTCCATGCCTTGAATGAAAGATTTAATCATCAAGAAAAGAAATGGATACTTCCAAGCAGTCACTGTTAGTGTAAGAACATGGGACTCAGCGAAGTCCCATGGTGTACTTATTTTCCTCAGAATTCAGAGGGCAGTCAGTTTGAAGGAGGTCTGTGTTCATCTGTGTGCTTCCTAATGGGGCCTTCCTGCCTCTTACCTACATGCACTGGACTCCCAAAGGAAGGCTTGGTGCTGCCCAAACCCTGAGCCAGCATGGCCATGGTTAAAACCCAAAGAGAATACAAGATATAGTCTAGGGATTATGTGTGGTACATACCAGAGACCTAGTGTGCATTTGAGAAGTGAACTATAATTGCTCTTCCAGAGTAGAAATGTTGGGGCTGAT